ATATATATTTAATGTTTCAACTAGAATCTGTTTTGGTCAATAATAACGACGGTGATAGTGACAGGTGTTATAGTACAGTTGTTGTTTACTATTGATTGGTTAATTTTGATATCAGTTCACCGTATAAATAATATATGACAACGAGAGATTAAAAGATATCCACATCAGTCATTCTTATATACAGTTTATCTCACAACTCAATCAATTTAACAATGGATGAGAGAGAGAGAGAGAGAGAGAGAGAGAGAGAGAGATGGGGTTAACGTCCACTCGACACAAACTAAGTCATTTCGGGACTAACATTTGATTTAATTTTAATTAAATAATTCGGTGGCGTGTAGAGGCGACCCTACCCCTTGTCACGTGCTAACCATTCACCCCCCCTCCCTCCCTCAACAACGGATGAATTTACTATGGTTTCATTGAGGTTAAGTCATTGATGGCTTAATGTTTGTTCTGATACTTTATGGGAGCCGCGGTGACTCAGTCAGGATGGTGTCGGGTAGCTAATCAGGAGGTCTGAGGTCCACACCCGGCATGTTCCAGTGTGGTTTACCTTTGTCAGTTGTGCAGGACGAAGGGAGGGTGTCTAGTCCTTCGGATCGAACGAAAAAAGAAGCCCTTGTATACATTGACGTGCACGTAAAAAATCCTCGACAGTTGGAAATCGAAATAAGAGTAGGCCGTAACGCAGCTATCCTGGCAAAATTTCCGTCGAAGCACACTACATGGTGTATACCCGCCTAAATTAGCCCAGTCGGTGCAGACGTTAAACCCCATTTCATTTCTGATATTGATATGCTTACCATTTTTAGAATACCCCTCGTTCTCGTTAAAATTTAGTAGTTTACAAAATTAACAAATTCTACATGACTATATTTGGATGTTGGCCCAATTCCTTTCATAACACACTACTTAAACCCCATTTAAATTTAATTGTAAAATTTGCCCTGTCCTTATCTGCTAACAATAGAATGGAATTGGTTTGTACTCCTCTTAACACAATGATTTGATCTTTTTGAAATTAACATGACAATTTTTCCATTAAGTGGTTAAGTGTGCAAGGCCGAGGAAGGAACTTTACCCTGGTCAGCAAAGTTTCCGCCTACAAATCTTTGAGTTCCAGTTTCCACCGAGTGGACCTCATTTTAACTGACACAATAAACACTGGTTACCACTTCCCATTGGATTTACATAGCCAATACAATATCTCCTGTGTATTTAGCTTCCTTAGTCATTTTATCAATTCATTTGTTAAGAATACAGAGAGAGAGAGAGAGAGAGAGAGAGAGAGAGAGAGAGAGAGAGAGAGAGAGATGGGGTTTAACGTCCACTCGACACAAACTAGGTCATTTCGGGACTAACACATGGTTCAATTTTATTTCAATAATTCGCTTGCGCGTAGGGGTCTTTAGCAGTGGGAGGAAACTGGAGGACCCGGAGAAAACCCACGAGGTTGGACAGGCGACCCTACTCCTTGTCACGTACAACCGGGGATTCGAAACCGTTAAGAATACAGTTTATTTTATCTTCGTTTGGTAATTTTAATTGACATTATGAACACTAGTTACCACTTCCAATTTGAGGGGTTTACGTAGGCACATGGCCCAACGAGAGGGGTGGATTCGGTACATCGCTCCATGACCGGTATTAGGGTTAGCGCCCGATTTGATCAGATGTACGTGTGTGTTGGGTGGGGGTGGGGGTCAAAATTTATATTGCTCCGGCAAATCCGCGGACCTGCACAGCCCACACAATATTTTGTATATACTCTTCATTAAAGTCATTTTATCAATTCATGTGTTTATCATTAAGACATACACATGTTATTTTATTTTCGTTTCGGTAATTTATAACAAAAACTGTGTATTTATAGAGCTAGAGAGAGGTAACCTATGTTGCTTATAAAATACATAGAATTATTTCAACTCGTGTCTGTCTAATGTTTACATCAACTAGAATTTGTACTTCTGCCAAGCTACACGTAAGCTGTTTAAAAAAATTGAACTCTGCCATGGAAATATTTGCAACAGATGCACAATAGCAGAATAAAGAGACAATATAGACACACATCAGCGAATTATGTTTATTAACACCGAGACAACATTGCACCCTTTCCGCATAATGTATGAGTGTCATGGGATACAATTCATTTCATTTGTCACGGGAGAGAGAGAGAGAGAGAGAGAGAGAGAGAGATGGGGTTTAACGTCCACTCGACACAAAGTACATGTAGTCATTTGGGGACTAACATATGGTTTAATTTTATTTCAATAATAGCAGTGAGAGGACCCGGAGAAACCCCACATGCGACCCTACTCCTTGTCACGTACAACCGGGGATACGAAACCACGCCAGTCGACTCAGTGACAGACCTTATGATACAGCGCGCACGTGCTAACCATTCGGCGATCCAACCCCTCATTTGTCACGGGATGCACTGGTCACGATAACTTTGTTGGAATGTCATGTCCGTCACTCCTTTTGAATACTGTCGATCTGGAAGTTTATCAAGAAATATCCAAGAACTCCAGATATAAAAAAAAAACGTTTCTTGAAGTCTTCCTCGAGACAATCAGTGAAATCAGAAGGTGATATAAACACTATTGGTGCTGACTTGGATTCAGACTAGAATTATGTCGATTTTCTTTAAAACCCCCGGGCATTTTAGTTTCATGATTGGAATCTGTTATTCGTTCATTCTTTTATTGGCTTTGATACCAGTTAGAAAAGTTTCCATAACAGTTCATTCTTTTGCATGCAAATTGTGTCCCCCATAGCCATAGGCGTAGGAGTCTTCTGTATTTCCGTTTTTCGGACACAAACATCAGAGAATGAGACCATATGTCATAGAAATATAATTGTTAAATGAAATCGCTCGCAATTTATGTTTTGAATACTATAACACTTACGTGAAGCTTTGTGCTCATTCATTCTGAACATTCGGGTGACAAAGACATTTTCGGGCAAATAGCCTCAGCCAGAGCTGTGAGTAAGGTGTTGGCTCACTAACCAGGACGTCCCGGGTTCGACCCCGGTGTTGGGCAAGAAAGTACCTCGGAATTTTCCAGCGTGATTCCCCATTGTTAGTGAGACAAGACTGGGCGCCTGGCCAGGAACAGTGTTTAGTCCTTCGGATGGGACATACATCGAGATCCTGTAAAACGTTGAATCCCTGACAGTTGGAAAAGAAAACAGGAGGCAGCCGTAGCGCCGCTTGATGGGCGAAAGTTTTAATACAGCACACTATTAATCGGATTGGTGCACAAACGTGGGGCGTTAAACCCCATTTAAACAACTGCTGTCACCGCATGGCATTGAAACCCGAGGTCCCTTGTACACCTTGGCGTGCACGTAAAGGAACCCTTGACAGTTTGAATTCCAAATCAGAGTAGGTCGTAGCGCCAATGTCTGGGATTTTAACGTGTTTCTCTTCTGAACCAACCGGGGAAATTCGTCATGCTACGGTCAGCTCTTATTTTGATTTCCAATTGTCAATGGATCTTTAACGTGCACTGTCAATAGTATACACGAGACTTCACATGTTCGACTTGACACCGGGCTGGAAATTCCAAGGAACGTTCTCGTCTAACACCGGGGTCGAACCTGGAACCTCTTGGATAATAAGCCAGCGCCTTACTCACCGTGGCTTCCATTTGTCTGAATTACATTAACTGCATACATAACAATACTTTGCATGACTGTTCTACATTTTATCCGGTCGCTGCTTTAAATGCAATAAATTTATCACTGTGCAAATATCACATAACGTAAATAACACTTTTTTTTTATTTGTCAGAACAAAATAAAAGATTTTTTTTTTAAAAGACGGGTAGAAAAAATATAAACAGGTAATAAATTTGATCAGATGTACGGTATGAACACTATTTCTGGTATGTAGAGAAGTTAAATAAAGTTATGTGTTGCTAGCAGGCTGTCCGGGGGAAGAGAGAGAGAGAGAGAGAGAGAAAGAGAGAGAGAGAGAGTATTATGTATAAAATTAGATATTTATACTTCAGCTGCTAAAATCCAGTTACAAAGCAGTGTCCTATACGGTATAAGAGAGAGAGAGATGGTGGGTGGGGTGGGGTATTATGTATAAAATATGATATTATATATTTCAGCTGCTAAAATCCAGTTGCAAAGCAGCGTCCCATACGGTATAATGATATTTCAATAATTCGATTGCGTGTATTGGTTTTTATCAGTGGGGTTTTTGACGGGGAGAGAAGTATCGATATTCTGAGAGATATATATTAATATTTATAAACAATATTTTGTTTCATTACAACTTCAAAATGTTATAAACGAGCGAAAAAGAAAACCTAACAGAATACCAAAAGGACGATATCGTAAACATAAATATACGTCCATTGCGCGAACTCAATTCTAACGATACAATTTCCAAAATAAATAGAGGATATTTGTCGTTTTAGAGTGAATAGCATATTTTATTTCATCGAGAAGCAAGAAAACTTATATTTTCACGAATGCGTAGCATGAGTGAAAATATAAACGTTTTCTTGCTTAGAGATGAAATAAAATATGTTATTCACGACAAAACGACAAATGTTCTATTTATTTTATGATTTTACAATCATTTTAGGTAAAAACAACTAGCCAGTGGAATAACACTTTTATTTCACTGATAAAACGCGGTATTCCACTACTGATCATAAAATAAAAAATATATATTTATATTGGATTTCGTGGCGTAAAAAAATCAGTCAAATAATTTCTCTATCTTTTTGTGATTTCTTTGGGTTTAAAATAAAACAATCCGTCATAAAATTTCACTATCTGATATAATTTCTTTTGGTATAAAGTAATATAAGAAAGTTAGAGAAGACGGTGTATAAGCCGGTGGGTATATAGCCTGTGAAATCTTAGCTTATCTCCGTGTTCCCTCCCATCAATAACAACCCAACTAACCGAGAAACAGAGACAAAACCAACCGATAAACTACATCCCAATCAATAGCCTTCAGTGGATAGCTCTGCTGGGATTGAAACGTAGAAATTGATACCTCCAGTTTCCTTTCTCTTCGCGCAGTTTAACCCGCATGGAGCCCACAGAAGCACATGTTTATCTTTAATTTACACACGATGAGAATGGGATGTAGTGTACACGTGAAGAGAGTCTGTTATTATTTCTGATTGACAGTTACCACGACAGCCTCAAGAACAGTTTTATTAGCAGACGACAGACAGACATTCCATGTTTTTGATTTAACTAACTTACCGAGCTTGTGATTAGCTATCAACAAACTTTTATAAACTTTCAGGAAGTTAGCTACTTCTGTCAAAGTTATTTGTGACCTGACTGTTGTGAAAGCTGAAAAGGAATATTCTTTTGGAAAATATTTTTTCATACTTACGTCATGGAATAATTCAGCTTTTGACTTTTGATTGGATGAATTTAATGTGGATGTGACATTTCAAAAAAGAGAAAAAAGTATCACGAACAAATTAAGGGATAGACAAAAAATCCTAACTTGATTAAGAAATAATCTGCTTTTATTATTGAAATCATAAAACACAATTTCCGCCTACCACCGCGTGAAGTCTGCTGTTTTACTAAGAAGTGACATTAAGAGCGCAGAGAACGGAAGATGAATTCCTAACTTGCGTGAGCCATATAGTTTGTTTGGGGTGTCTGAATTTTATCGACACTTATTCGCCCCGTTCTTTGTAAGTGCACAAGAAAAGATCTCCACAGAATCTATGAGCTGTTTGCAGTATTATTGTTTTTCTTTCGTATTGGATATTCGCCTTCCCCGTGTTAACACTACGCCAACAAACCATAGACTCAAAGTGTCATTCAAACTCCCGACGCTCGAATAGTTTTAAAAATAAAACATCTCAGCATTGTGTGGCATTTGGATGTCATTTGAAAAATGTTGAAAACCCTACCACGCTTAGTTTGATATTGTTCGGAATTTCAGTTAAACTTTTGGACGACTTTTGACATTCTTCATAAACTAATTACTTGCGTGAATTAAAAGTTTGTCTTGGTGTTTCACGACCACGGCGACTGAATTGGTCGGAGAATTTTTCTATAAAACTGTGCCATTAAAAGACGAAGAGTTTACACGGAACGATTGTTATCTACTGTTGACTGGCGGTACTAAAAGGAGCAGAAGTCGAAATCTCTGACGCCATCACCCAAATACCAGTGTTGTACGGTTCAAAAAGCTAAAAGATACTTTAGCAGACGATATGTTCAGTGTGTTGACTCGTGTATAAAGTTGGATTATCTGTGGCTTGAAAGTTATGGTCTTAGCAGACGACACAACAAATACGAAAGAATGCACGAGCTGGTTGTAGTTTTTGTGGCCATTTTCCACGTGGGTGAGTTCTCTTATTCAATAATAATTATTCGTTGTTAATTAGCATAAGTCAGTAATTGGTTGAATGTTAACAAATGATTTATGATGGTTGATCTGATTACAACAACCGCGGTTTCGTATAATTCAATTATCAAAGCCGCATAATACAATTGATGGCTATTGTTATCGGAATTAAACTACATGGTCGAGTGAACTCGCAACATAACTATTATATGTATACGGTACCGTACCAATGATCTAACAGGTCCGACAATATTGATGCCATTGTTCATAATATTGTGGACATAAGGTTCCATTATCGCCTTGGGAAACCTATTTGAAAAATGGATTTAATTGTGAGCAATGTGTCAAAGACTAGACTATCACATTTATCATATATTATGAAAACTAACGCAAAGACAGACAACATTTAATTAACACGATTTATAATGTATAATCGGCGAAATTTCACACGAAATCTACTGAAAAGTTTCAATTATATTGGATTTTCTAAGGTTTGCATCCGACATATGGCCCGGAATACAGTTACCTGAGATGCTAACTTGAAAATTGTACACTTTCCAGCCCAAAATGTAGAAAGCAAAGCAAAGACTACATTTAATCAACATAATTTCCACCCAAAAATCCCCCCATAAGTTTCAATTGTTTTAACTCTTAGTTTTATATCGACATATTGTTTAGAATACCGTTACTTGGAGGTACTAACTGGAAAATCGCACAACGGTGTCTCCAAAAAAATAGAATTCATCACAAAGACAACATTTATTTCACACAATATAGAAAGTATAAAAGGAAAAATTCCACACAAAATCCACGCAAACGTTTTCAAAGCTTTGCATCTCCACCCAGAAGTTTTCAAGGCTTTGCATCCGACAACTTCGTCGTCCAAAGTGTTGAAATAATTCGTATATACCACATCCATATACCATATCCAACTATATTTATATTCCTCTATCCCCGATATGTCTGGCATGACGTTGCTAATAATTAATAAACCCAATCTACATCATATAAAACATTAATGACATCAGTATAGAGGCTGTTAGTTGTTCTTAATATTTCCCAGTACAATATTATTAGTTTGCTATTATTTCTGTTTTTATATTGCCTCTATGGTATTATTAGTCTGATTGCCTTTGCACAAGACATATTGCTATTATTTCTGTTTTTATGTTACCTCTATAGTATTATTAGTCTGATGGTCGTTGCACAAGACATATTGCTATTATTTCTGATTGCCGTTGCACAAGACGTATTGCTATTATTTCTGTTTTCATCTTGTCTTTATAATGTTATTAGTCTGATTACCATTGCTAATTTCTGTTTTCACCTTGTTAGTACAATATTATTATAGTCCTACTGCACAAGGCATATTGCTGTTATTTCTGTTTCCTGCTTCTTAGTACAAAATTATTACAGTCAAAGCATATTGCTACTATTTCAGTGTTTGCCTTGTCGTTTCCCATCCAATTAATTCTATTAACTATATTGTATTCTATATCTACTCAAATCAGAAATGTAAGCAAATATATACGTTCGATTTCTTTTACCAACGTCCATACAGCAAATGATTCCAGCTTCTTTTGTGAAAGTCTACATTTAATACACAAAACAGCAAACTCGCACAATATGAACAAACCACCCATGATATACATCACAGACGCTAAAATATATATCACATAATTATTGCTAACTGCAAATCTTAATGAACCCTAATTTAAATTGAGTCTGAGAAAACAATTTAAAATGCTTCAGTTTTGAAAAGATAGTAGTTTTTGTTTTTTAATCTTTTCGTTTAAATTTTATCTTTATGCGATGTATTTTTGCTGTGATTTTGATATGTTAGTTCCTTACAATGAACACTCAAAATACATATCATGATCATTTTTTTATATAAAACTCGGTACTACTGATATTTGTAACTGTATAAAATTCGGCATTGCTGATATTTTTATCCTCTTTGTTCCTCCAAAGAACGAGGGTCTGTTTTCCTATTTTGATGGAATTCGCAGCATTCGTAGAATAATGTTTCTGTTTATGACGTTTAGTGTAGGGAATAATTTAAAAATCTGTTTTAAGCCTGAACACAAGTTTATAATAAAAAACAATCACATAACGCGATTTTAACACATACACGACGCTTTGAATGTTTAGTGTAGGTTGTCGTGTATGATGCAGGGTATACTGATACCAAATGATATCACTTCTCATGCTGTACGTCTGGGTACTTACGCTTAATATTTTAAGGGTGTGACCTTTTTGTTGGTCGAGATTTAGCACCCTAGTAAGCGACTGCATTCTTAACATATCAATGAGGACCCCGCACTGTACTCGTATAGCGCTGTGACGTATAGGCACATGCACGACGTCATGTAGCGCAGGTTTTCCAGTGAATGCTTTTGTTTTAAAAAAATATAATAAGTATATTCCTAATCATAATTTTATTTTATTATTTTTGGAGCAGAACAGTAAGACGTTAAACCCCACTTCATTCCTTTTACAATCATTATTGTGCTCCTTTCTGCTAAATATCGTCAAAATATTTAAACCAAAGTTGAGTTGTGTTACCATATGTTAAATGGTGTGTGATATTGACAGCTATGTAAGCAGAAGTGTGTTATAATTATTTCCAAAGTTTCGTGATAGAGGAAGTTAAGGACTAGCACATTAACAGTAACTGACTGTCCCCAGGCTAGTAATTTTCATCTCCACAGTTGCAGTGTACAGATATATGTAATGAAGCACGTGGGACTAACATTAGTCTTGGGTTGAAATAGATAATTCTTACTTGTGTATGTAGAATAGATAGGCTAACAACTGGTCAGGGGACGATTGTGGCGATTTATTACACAAATCAAATCACTCAAGGGGGATATACACTATTTAGAAATCCTATTTAGAAGTCGCCAGAGAGAGAGAGAGAGAGAGAGAGAGAGAGAGAAGAAATGCTAGTTCTTTTAGCCACTTCCTGGGGCCCTACTCAAGAAAATTTGTAGAAATGTAACAATGCTGCCTTTTCCTTGACCAAGAGCCAAGTTTGTTGCTATGATTTTAGTATATATTTAATGGATCTTAAATCGGGACCCCTGACCATTATTAAGAAATTAAATTTATTTACAAGCCAAACAGCAGACGAGAAGCTTTTATTAGTTTGCTTGAAAAAACATTAAATAAAAAAATAATAAAATCTGAGTTAGAATTCCATTAGATACAGGCCCCATTCACGAAAAACTAAAATATTTTATGAATTTAGGCTTTTCCGTGGATATGCATATTATAATATTGCCATATATTAATCATTTCTCCCCATGCTATATTGAATATGCATATAGTATATGGCCATATAAATCTCCATGCTATAGTGAATATGCATGTAGTATAATATTGCCATATAAATCTCCATGCTATATTGAATATGCATGTAGTATAATATTGCCATATAAATCTCCATGCTATATTGAATATGCATGTAGTATAATATTGCCATATAAATCTCCATGCTATATTGAATATGCATGTAGTATAATATTGCCATATATTATCATAATATATCCATCCATGCTATATTGAATATGCATGTAGTATAATATTGCCATATATTATCATAATATATCCATCCATGCTATATTGAATATTCATATAGTATATGCCATATATCATAATATCCCTCCATGCTATATTTATTACAAAGAATCTCGCACATGATTATCTATAGAAAGAGGGGAGGGGGGGGGGTCAAGTGGTATAATAATAAATTAAAGATAGTGTCGATATCCCACTGTTGACGTCATAATGCCTACAGTTTGACATCTGTAACAATTCGATCTCTATTACTAACTGAATGGCAGACGAGGTGGGGGTTAACGTCACAAACAAATATCAGTACAAAATCCACTAAAACAATTATTATCTTACGCTACCCCCCCCCCCTTCCCCCATTTCCCTTCCGTCACCCCGACAAAATTGGAATTAATTACAACTGTCATTTTTATAGCTGTTTTATTTCACATCGACTAACAATGTTTGGTGGCGAACTCAGTTCACTCAAAATCCCCAAAGTTGTCATTGTTCTTGAAAATTGAATAAAAAGCTCGTCATTAGAGAAGAGAGGGAGATGGAGAGAGGGTACCGTCATATCAACACACGCTAGGTTATTTCAGGACTAACATATTATACACCCATGTGTCAAAAATTAGTTTGTGTGTAGTGTGTTGTGTTCTTTACTAATGCATGGAAGTCAGATAACCAGGGGAAAACCCTCGATGCTAGGAAGGCGATTTGAATGTTCAGATGCATTTTTTTAAATTTTATTTTCTTCAGCTATAAAAAAAAGTACGTCCTTTAATCGACAATCAAAACCGCGGGGTAAAACTTTTATTTCTGAATGTTCAGGCATTTTCAAAATCTTATTTCCAAACCCCTAGATATTTTGTAATCGACATTTTCTTCGTCTACAAAAAAGTACGCCCTTTCGTCAACGGGGTAGAACATCTATTTCAGTACAATTATAATGAATTCATATTTCAGACATTTCCTAATATTCAAATTTCCTGCTGTATACGATTTCATATTTTGACCACGTTTAACTAAAGCTACGATGTCAGAATTAATATTGTATTTAGAAATAAACTAACTTTAGATGCAGACACAACAGGGACTCCTTTTTAATTAAAAACATCCCGATTTTGCGCCATGACAGTTGTTTCAAACGTTAATGACATGCGCAGAGACAGTCCAAATGATAAAATAATTGACCTTATTAACTAAACACAGAAAAAAGTCTCTAATTAAATTGCCGTCAATCATTTCCGATTATAAAAATTCATGAACGTAATGCCCTTAAAAATATCACAAAGAACATGATGATTTCATTTTTCTAGTTCAGAAATTTCCAAATTTTATATGGCAACCGCTGTCCCAGCCAGACACGTTTCCCACAAAACATTTTTAATTAGATAATTGGAGTAGTGTGATTTTGCGAGGCTTGTTGATAGGTTGGTG